AGTGGATACGAGATGCAATGGGTAACCAGTGAAGGTCATGAAGCACTGGAGTAATGTGAGCAGAACGCCTGGTGGAGGTGAGAACTCTTGCTGCTGAGTTTTGGACGTGCTGTAATCTAGCAATAAGTTTTTTGGGAAGGCCAATAAATAAAGCATTGCAATAATCCAGACGTGATGTGATTAGTGCATGAATTAAGAGTTCGGCGTCAGGCGAAGTGAGAGATGGTCTTAGACGAGCAATATTTCGAAGATGAAAGAAAGAGTTTTTCACAATGGAAGAAATATGAGAGCCAAAAGATAGAGTTGAGTCAAATAAGACACCAAGGTTACGAGTCAGTGATGAGGGCTTAATATGGAAACCATCAATATAGAAGGACTGGTCCATCCGTTTGACTGAGGCTTGTTGTGGGGAATTTTAATCTCACATGTATTAATTGTTCTCCCTTATCAAGAGTGGAGTTAGGCACCAGAGGACCGGCCGGGTCAGGGATCATCTTAGACTGGGAGGGGTTGAGGGGGTTAGTAAATCTAACCTGGCATCATGAATCCTATAACTTTGTGGAAATTTACAGAGAAGGCTCAGCTTGCAGTAAATAACCTTGGGTAGGGCTATTTAGTCTTCACCCCGGCCTGTGTTCTGGGCGTCACTCTCTTCACAGTGTACCAATCTGTGTTAGCGACTGGGCCTATTCTTGCAAGAATAAACTTCTCTTTTCTTTTATTAATTTGACTCAGAGTGTCTCTTACAAAGTGATGTATGTTTATTGAATTTTTGCCTTAACAGTGGTTAATAAGAAACACCTGGGGAGATTAATAAACAAAAACGAGGAACACCTGTGGACACTGAGCAACAACATAACAAAAGACAAGACACATGGAAGGAACACATGACAAACAGGGAATCACATGACAGACAAGAACAAGGAATAAGACGCAAAACCCACACCGTGACATAGGAGCTACTGAATCAGAGGAAGTGACGTGAACAGACTCGGATCTGCAAAAGTAACGTGAACAGTCTCTGGCTTGGCCATCTTGTCCGTAGACACCGGCTCGGAGGAAGTGACGTGAACAGATTCTGGATCGGACATCTTGTCCGTAGACACTGGCTGGAAGGAAGTGATGTGAGCAGTCCCTGGATCGGCAGAAGTGACGTGAAGCGTCTCTGGCTCGGCAGAAGTGACGAGTGACGTGAAGCGTCTCTGGCTCGGCAGAAGTGATGCGGAGCACGGGCTGGCTTGGCAGAAGTGACGTGAAGCATCTTTGGCTCGGCAGGGCTGACGTGGAGCGTGGGCTCGGCAGGGCTGACGTGAAGGATGTGGCTGACGTGAAACTCTGGCTGGACATGGCTGACGTGAAGGTCTGGGATGACGCTCTCTTCACAAACGGAGAGTGCCTCTCTCCAGTTCAGACCGTATAAGTCGGGGAGCTCCCTCGGGTTGACCTCCTTAGCCCCCAGCCGGTAGCATAATTTGATCGCCTCGTCCCCCAGGGAACAGGAGACAGCAAGTGAAGCAAAACCCCATGTGTATTGGAACAGATCTTGGCTATCCAGGGCCAAGGCCGCGATCTGTCCAGCGAACTCCCGGATCTGTGCTGCTGGATTCATCTGTGTTCGTTGTTCTGTTATGATACGGCAGGAACGAAGCAGAGATTGAATCCAGTCGCAAGGACTTTAATTATCCAATAAACCTGGGTAAACTTGGAACAATATACAAAGAACAAGGAATAGTATAACATCAAACAACAACCGATAACCAACAACTGAAGCACAGGGGTTTAAATACACAGACACACAAGCTAAACAAGATAACAAGGGGGCGTGGTTAATAAGAAACACCTGGGGAGACTAATAAACAAGAACGAGGAGCACCTGTGGACACTGAGCAACAACATAACAAAAGACAAGACACATGGTTGGAACACATGACAAACAGGGAATCACATGACAGACAAGAACAAGGAATAAGACACAAAACCCACACCGTGACAAATACTCATTCGATTTATTTTTTAATCAAACTACTTTATAGCTAATTGGTACACCAACATATGAATAGTACATTTAATATTTGTAAAGATAATTTGTAACAAAATTGGAGCCATTAATGTATGAGTTTTTGCCCTCCCCCCCCCGAAAATATTTTGATAGCTAACGTTAGCCTTTAACCTTGGACTTTTTGTAGACAATTGCCAATGTAAACATTTGATTAAAATTAATTGACATTAAAGTAGACCAATTAAATACATTATTAAGTGTGTTGATATCAAATAATGTCATCATTAATTATTCAATCAGATTTACCATTTGACCTATTTTTAATTACCGGACCTTTTCTCCTAAAACTATAAATTGAATTAATTAGTCCCGAAGTAACTATTTTACTTTATGTAATTTATGTAGACTACTTAAATTAGTTCTTATAAAACTTAAGTATTAAAATGAATCAATATTAATTTAACTGTGATATGAAGTTGTTGCCAGCCATTTACAACTCATACAGATGCTTAATAATCAAATGTACTATGCCTTCACTATGTATTAACCAGTCTATGATATTAACATGTGAGCTAGAATGTGTAATTTGGCCTTTTGTTTGGGTTCCTTGTTTTAATTTGTATTGACTGAAATTTGTATGTCTTAAAATTTGAATTTGAGGTTGACTTGAGTCTTTTTTTAAAGATGGATATAACAATTCAAAGGGGGGATTCACTTGCAGAATGTAATAAATGCTGCAGTTATTTTCACTGCCCATTCTGTGCCCCCATTTATTTTAAAACAACAAAGTTATCGAAAGTGCAAAAGCATCTCAAGGGACACTTCAACAGAGCAGTGCAAGTTGCAACATGAAGGTAACATTTGCAAACATTTTTTTTTTTCTTTTTGAAAAGATCGTAAGACTGTGTGTGACCAATAATATGCTGTTGAATTCCAGGGTACACCATACATCGATTCGGTCGCCCCTGCCGAACCCAGCCACATTATCATTGCTTCTACTGTCTGTCAACAATTTTAAGAAAGCCAGATTACATTACACATTTAGGATCCTGCAAATGTAAGAGAATTAAGAGAGCAAGAACCACTGATTTCTGTAACATCACACCAGGGATGGAAATTAGCACCCGCCACCAGCCAAATGCGGGTGATTTTGTGTTGTGGCGGGTAAACTCACTTCACCTACCGGCCACCGGTAATTCGTTTTTTTCATCTTCATGTAAACCACAATGATTTCCCTCATGTGTTAATATTTTTCCTTGTTATAATGTATGATTTGCAAAAATAAAAACTACTGCAAACTACTGTGTTGATTAGAGAATCAGTGTATGCGCGTTGTGTACCCGCAACATAAAATTGCGCGCTTAAAATAGCATTATGAATAACGCGCCACTGACTTTAGACCAGGTTTTTTCTGGACAGTGGCGCAATAGTGTTCTGGAAGTGTAAAATAGCACCAGGGAATGTTTGCGCCGAAACACGCCTCCTTTTTGCGCCGATCCGCCCAGGGAGCTCAAGTTCATTCCCTAGTTTACCGACGTGCGTCTGTGGAGGGGAAAATAACGCTTTGCGCGCATGCAAAATACAGTAGGAATGTACATGGGGCCCTATCTTGCAGGGTGGAAGATAGGGCCCCATGGTGTCTTATGATACAAAAAAAAAAAAAAAATCATTGCACTGTCCTTGTGCAAAAAAACAGAGATCATGCACACATAAACACATTGCAAAATGGCATTTATTCCAAACAAATGTAGAACTCTTTCCGAAGGTCCGGAGCACTGAAAGGAGCACTGAGGAGTTTCAGTTGACAGCAATGGAGGAAAGTGATGGATCTCATGTGGGTGAAAATACTTGCCCACCAAAGGATGTTCCACCAATACAATGCATGGTACAATACATCTTAATGAACAAAAAGATACCTTCTACTATTCCCAGCCATTTGAGACTTTCTTCAGAGGATAAGGAATTTCCACGACACCTAATTCCTGAGGAGACATTGTACTACCACTGCCCAGACTGCATGGTCCTTATCGACCCGCTCTTTCCCCCGACCCGCATTACTTGAAAGGCTAAAATTCTTACAACCACAGGAATTGTCCAAGGTGGATTATTAATTCATTTTTATGGTTGTGATTTTGTACTTCTGATCATGTTGCGTTTTGAAGTAAACCACTCTTGTTAATTATTCACCTTTTGTCTCTGCAGATATTTCTACATACTACAAATACTGTCCTCAGTGTGGAGTATTTTACCGTTACCAAGAGTGGAGCGAAGGTCTACATAATTTCAATGACCATGTCCTTCTTGATCTACCTCTTTGCCTCACTATTAGAAACATGTTGCTTGTGATGCTTACATATTCTCTTTATTCGTTAATTTGTCGGTTTTTATTATTATTTCAATGAATAGTAGTAATTAAGAGTGCAGTTTTTATATATCATAGGTCCACACTGCAGTCAGCAGAATAGTTGAGTATTTGGAGTTAACTACAGGTGTCCAGTTCACCTCAGCCAATACAGTTTTGCATGCTTATCTTCATTTTGAAGCTCTAACAGACCATGAATATCAGTATTCATGTGTGACCTGTGGTGACCATCCGCTTGTGGTCATAATGGACCTTCACAAGAAGGCATCTTTTCATCTGTCAGGTAAGAAACCCTATTAGTTTACGGATTGCACAAAGGTAGACCATGGTTTATTCAAATTTTCTTCATTTCTTTTAGTGAGTGACCTTGCACAACCTCCAGAAGATTTTAATGGAGATGTGGATTCAGAACAGTTTTGGAAGGCACTGACAGTGGAAAGAATCTCTTGTGGATTTGTTTCAAGTAAGAAAGCAAATTATTAAATATTACACTTGTTTGTATTTGACAAGATAAGACAAAAGGTAAAATGCTGATTTCTACAATATAGTAACATGTTTTTTCCCCCAAAGGTCAAAAATCAATCCATACTGTTGATAGGCCCAATGGATAGGGAGAAACACTCAGAAATGTTCTTAATACAGAATTTGAGAAGATCCGTCCAGCCAAAGCAGCAGAGGTCTCAAATGAGAACAGTAATAGCAGTAGCTCTAAAATATACAATGTATGTGACATTGATAACATGATTTGGTCTTGCATGAGTATACAAAGGATTATCGTTTCTAAAAATCTGCTTTTCTTTTATGTATTTGCATTTTAGGTGGTTGGACTGTGATAATGTGTCTGTGTGGCATTGTCTACAGTTTGAAATGCAGCATCCGAGCAGAGAGCCCGCGTGATTATGCCGAACATTGTCATTAATGACTTTGCACGTGGACAGGCAACCCATACTAACCTAAGACAGCCACAAACAATACCCTTCACACCATTTGAAGGGAGGTTAATGGACCCAACTGCAGAAAACATAGAGAAAGCCAAAGCTGGAAACGTAAAGGTGTCAGTACCCTGGCTGACATGCAAAAAGGAAAATCCTGACCCTGATGGCCACCCTATTACTGGTTCAGCAGAACATTATGTTCTTTATGACTGGTTCCATGAGGACAACACAAAGGATGCTCGAGATTCACTGCGGAAGCTTCGCCTAGTCGCGCAACTAGCTGGGTGAGTTAACAGCCAAGTCGTGGAACAGGTATTTGCAAAACTAAAAAAAAAAAAAAAACTTCCTAAACATGGCTTTACCGTTAACTCATGTGTTCCTCAGGCGAAACATAATTCACCATTACAATATTAGCAAAAATGAAAAACGACTTCAGCACATGAAAAAGGAGTTTTAGACAAACATTCTAATGAATGTCCACAGCCAGGCTGTTTTAGGTCATTTTCCACTGTACTTGTGCACTTTTGTTATGAATGTAACACTTTTACTCATGTAAAAGGAAATTGTGTCTCATTAGAGAGGAGTTTTGGAGCTTGGGTTTGCTGAAGGATATGGATTCCCATGTAAGAAGTCTGCATTTGGAAAGCTATATTTGTATTTACACGTATTTATTGGAAACGCCTGCATGCAGCTTATTAGTGAAATGCCTTATATTGTATGTATATAAAATATTACAATGTAAACTGTCAAAGAGTACACATGTGTCTGAATCAACCTACATTTTTGCTTGCTTTCTTTTTCCATAGGGCAAAGATATATACATAGAGAACTTGTATGTTATTTCAAAAATTTCTAAAATCAATTTTAGGAGGATGCGGATATGAAAGACTTGCTAGTCTTCCCAGCATGGACAAAAGCTAATGGCCCTGACCACTACGTTGTCTGTGTTTTAGTGAATTATTAAAGGAATTATTTCTAACTAGATATAGAATGTTGCATACATATGTTGATTACAACGTAATTGGTGTCTAAAACTCAAATAATCATCAATGCTTCTTCCAAGAACTTTAAAATTAAATCTGTTTACACCCCAACACGTTAGAGATTATGAGGCCACTTCGAAGGGACTAGTTGGTATATGAATCAAAGAAAAGATTTTATTTACAAAGGCAAAGTAAAAGAACAAAACACAGGTAACTGTGAGCAATGGCTCAGGGGAGAGCAAGGCCCAAAATAACAAACAAAACAGCCCTCTACCTAATTTAGGAGAATTCCTAAATAACCTAAGGTTAAAGAAAAAGAAGCGAACAACATAAGCTTCCCTCAACTCCCTCGCTATATCAAAAACAGAGACATAAACAGTATTAAAGAAAAATAGGCACTCACCCCCTACAGCCACCAATAACTCACAAGTTTAGTCCCACTATCAGACAACCATATCACAAACAGCGTTCAGTCTGGAGCACGGGAGAAGCGTGCCCTCCCTCTGCAACACTGAACTGCACCCTTATACTCTCCATCTCAGGCACACTCCCAAACGAGATACAGGTGCTGATGATTAGGCCTGAGAATGAGTAGAGAGAGAAAGAGAGACAGCAAGCAAACAAAAACACAAGACACAATACCATGTCCACACAGTCATAAATGATCATAGCAAATAAATTAATGAATACGTCCTTGGACGTAACAGCAGAGGTCTGTATATCACAGCGATAAGGGATTCAACTTATAGCATAGCTTTAAAACTATCAAAACTCTCTACTGGTATTTGCCTACACTTAAAACTATTTTTAAAAAAACAGCAACTCCTCCACTCTTTGACTTTCTAGGGCAGCTGAAAAGACCACAATTTGTGGGAAGAAGTTCTGAAATAGGGCTCAAGTAATTTTTAGTCAGCCAAGTTTCAGTGATAAACATAAAATCCAGTTTGTTTGATTAAAAAAAAAAAAATCATTTAGTAAAAATGAGGAGTGTTTTCTATGTGTTCTGACTTTGTGAAGTGCTCTCTGCTTAGAACTTAAATCACACCGCTATAAATACTGTTCAACTGTGGTCTAACTATAAGAATAAGAGTATGCAGATGCTCAAGGTAGCATACAATGATGCAATGAGGCTGCTGCTTCGTGTTCCTAGGTGGTATGGTGCCAGTTATTTGTTTGTGGCTACTAGAGTCCCAACTTGTGAGGCACTTTTAAGAAAACTGATGTTTAGTTTTATGTGTCACTTGGACAAGTCAGTTAACCACATAATTGAAGCCCTAGTCAGTCCTCTGAAAAGCGCTGTTATAGATAAACTTAGGTTAAGACGAAATTGGTACAATAGCCTGTATATTCTATAGGCTAATATGTAATTTTTATGTATGTATGTGTTTATGGACCTGTGTCTGAAATAAAGCTTTGAACAGAATAAAGATATTGACGCACAACGTAATGCTGAACATGGTTGCCTAGCCCTGTTTGTTTAAACTGTGAGAAGCATCAAAGCTTACGGTACTCCTACATCCTACAGTACATCACACATCATCAAGTGTTATTTTGGCGCAAGTCGACTTGCGTACGGCCGTCTGCTGGAAGCTAGTTGTTTAAGTCGATAAAGTTTTAAATATGGATATTTTTCTAAAACCAATGCATCGCTTTGCTTCAGAAGGCCTTTATTAACCGGTCGGAGTCGTTTGGGACACTTTTATGATGGATATAGATGCATAAAAAAATAGTGCCAATTCACTCCCAGGACATTTTTAATATAACTCAGATTGCATTTGTCGGAAGGAAGAATGTCATATACTACACCTTCAGTCATCTTCAGTCAGAGTGAGTAAATTATGGGCTCATTTTCATTTTTGGGTGAACTATCCCGGATGTTCATTTTGAACACAGTATCATCAGTATTTTTTGCTCTATTTTGCAACAAAATAACAGTTCCAAGGAAAGCCACAGCAGAACATGCAGCACACTGCGGAGTTGTGAGAGTCAAGGATTCAATGACCCATTCATGAATACAGATACTTGCTTAGTTACTATTGATTAACTGATGACTCATTCATTAAAGGTCCCGTTCTTCAATGTGATCCCTTGTTTCAAACTTTAGTTTGTGTGTAAGGTTGTTGTTAGAGTATAATTAATATCTGTTAAATTATAAAGCTCAAAGTTCAATTTATTTAACAGAAGTTCATTGAACTACCCGTTTGGTCTACATTCCTCTACTTCCTTCTTTAACCCTTTCACGCATACAATCACACCGGTGTGATCAGTCTTGGCTGGTCCCTGGAGCGTACGATGATCACACCGGTGTGATTAGAACTGTCAGCGCTTCACGTCATCAACTGCTAAATTCAAACTTGCTTTGGTACGTTGGCTGGCGCCGAGCCAGAGAAGTACGCACTCAGTGCTGTCATATATCACAACTGTTGAGTGTTTTCAACCACATAATGTTTATTTTAGGTTTAGACATTTAAATACACATATATGTACTAGCAAAACAATGATTTTGAGTTTGTAAAATACACACTGATGTCTATGGAAGCGGCAATAATAATCCTTTCAATTATAATAAGACGTTTTATTCATATCAGATACACATTGTGTAAGTAGCTTAACATATGACCCTATTCTTCTCCCAGTTCACCGGCCACATACTTTCATGTATTTCGTGAAAAGTGGAGGAATTGACGTTATAAATCCAACAGATCCGATTCTCTGAACTGTAAAACAAATTAAAATGGCGCCGCCCATTGTGCATACAGCACAACTAACGTGTTCGTTATAAAGATGTTTAAACAACAAAACACATCCACTTGCACATATTTGACAATCGGAATATCAGTGTTTCATGATATAGCTAATAGATTTGTGAATATTTTTAATAAAAAAGGAAAAATGACATAAAAGCAGATCATCATTCATTCCGCGCTCTGTTCTGGTTGTGCTGTGTCACGTGACAAGCAATGATGCGTCACCATGAAAACATTGAAGTGGCAAGTTCTAAATAACGGTTGCCTTGAAAAACTCACGCTGGGGGGTCACTTAGAATATTTTAAACTTACGTGTGAAAGGGTTTATGACATCAGTAGAATATTTTTTTTTTACTAACGTCAGCCCACAGGAATGCTCCCCAAGGGGGTAATCCATCGTAATTCATCGGAAGTTGAAGCCTCGCGGGAGCTGCCAACTTGTAGCAGAACTTCACTTGCATTAGCATTTCCATTGACTCCCATTCATTTTGGCGTCAATTTGACAGTGAATAACTTTACATCTGAGGCATCTGAAGACCCCATTTGTCCATTATTTATTTCTAAAGAAACACAACAATGTATAAAATGCTCCATTACCTTGTAGCTTATGTTATGGCCCGTGGAAGCAGTTTTTTGTAAAAGTAGGCTAGCGATTGCGTCATAACCCATCGACTCTCTGTCGCACAGTAGAGACTTTGTCTTTTAACAAATACAGTAGTCTTAGTCTTTTTAGCTCGGACCCGAGTTCGAATCCACCTTTTGCCGAACATATGAGATGTAAAATGTATAAACTAACATGAAGGTCTCTAGCGTTATATTTTGCCAATGAACTAAAATCGAAATAACCTGAGCTTTGAACAGGGTACAAATCGCTTTGGGGACATAGCCATGTCTAGGTTTAAGAATGACTATAGAGTCATTAGGTCCAAACTCAAGACACACAGCGCTAGCAGAGAGCGCTTGAAGGTCTCCCACACGTTTTACTGATGACAGGGCAATCAGAAAGACGTTTTGAGCGAGAGGTATTTAGGTCCATGGTATCTAATGGTTAGAAAGGGGGGGCTTTCATAGCTTCGAGAACTATAGAAAGATACCAGATCGGAACCGAGACTTCAAGAGATTTCCACGACGCATGCGCGAGAATTGCGATCAGTTCGGTTCTCGCGCATACGTCGTGGAAATCTCTTGAAGTCTCGTTTCAGGCCAACAAGAAAGAAAAGGAATAGTCGAATAAAGTCGTTATTTTTGTTTGTTTTTTCGCACAAAAAGTATTCTCGTCACTTGATAAACTTATAGTTGAGCCACTGTAGTCACATGGAATATTTAAACATTTTCTTCATTGACTTTCTGGGCCGTCAAGTGTCATTCCCTTAGGAGCCTATGTGGTAGTGATACAGCTCTCAAATTTAATCAAAAATATCTTCATTTATGTTCCGAAGATGAACAAAGGTCTTACGGGGTTGGTACAGCATGTGGGTGAGTAATTAATGACTTAATTTTCATTTTTGGGTGAACTAACCCTTTAAACACACTTGAAATGTACACGTGAAATGTTTGGCTGCATTTCACGTGTAAAATTACGCGTCAGAATAACGATTGTCTATGGATATAG